TGACTTCTCCGGGTTGCTCAAAATGACCGACCACAAGGCAGTGGAGACCATCCCCCAGGCCATTCGAGGAGCTGAAGCGCATGCGCGGGGTGCTCGCGTCGCCCAGGACTAGCCTCTCATCCCTGGGAGGCTCCGTCGGCTCCACCCTCTTGTAGAACTCCATCCTGTCCCGGATCCACTGATTATATAGCTGCTCTGGGGGCTCGTCCATCACCAGCTGCAAGCATGTGGCCTTGTCTTTGTGCCACCCCGTGATCTGGAGCAGCCTGGTCCCCCCGCGGCTCGCCCTCCAGAAGCCCTTGCAAAACCTGCACATGTAGCCCCCGGTGGTCTTGAACTTCTCCTTGCCCACCACTTCCCAGGCGCTGATGCTGGGCAAGACCAGGCCGCACTCCACGGAGGCCCAAAACACGTGCTTCGTCTCCTTGGGGAAGTGCTTGTTGATGTACTTCCGGCCCGCGACCGCCGTGACCGTGGACGTGGTGATGGGCGGGTACCGCCTGGTGCCCTGGTCCGGTGTGCGGAGCGTGGTGTCTGCCCCCCCCAGAACCTTGGCCTTGGGGTCCGCCTCCTTGGCCGCTCCTCCCCCGGGGCCAGAGGCACCCAAAGGGGGGGAGCAGCCCAGCTGCCGGATGAGGTCCTGGGAGTAGCCCAACCTGTCGTACAAGGCCCCCGCCGCCTCCCCACGTTGCAACGCCAGTTGACCTTCACCTCCACCATGGAGGACTTGCTCAGGCCCGACACCAACTTGGTGTAGACCGAGTCGAAAGCCCTCAGCGATGACAGCGGGAGGGTGATCCGCTCGTCGCAGACCGCCCGGAAACGCAGCGCCTCCTTGCTGTCGTGGACGGGGGCCACTGGGATCTCCATCACCGGCAACGGGCAGTTGACGATGAAATTCTTGGCCGCCAGAAACGTCCCCATCTCCTTGAAGATGTAGCTCCATTCCGCCTTGCTGCGCGGCTTGGGGATGCCCAGGCTCTCAAGGAAGGGCACCGCCTCCTTCCTCATCTGGAGGATGTTGCCCATCCACTTGTCCGAGGTCGAGCCCTCCGCATTGCGGCCCCGGCGCTGCGTCTTCACGATCAGCGGGAAAGTGGTCCAGGCCGAGTAGATGTACTTGAAAGTGAACCTGTGGGCGTACACCCCCGTCAGGCTCGGCAGGTCCCACGTTCTCGTCTGCCTGGTCCAAAACACCCCATCCCCTTTTGCCCAGAAGATCCCCACCACCTGCTCCGGCGCCGGGCGCTCGCCCCGGTTCACCTGCGCTCGGTCTCCAAGGCCGTGTAGATGACTGGGTCGATGTGGTCCTGCTCGCAGTGAGTGGGTGAGTCCTGCGCTCCAGGGCCAGGAGCTCCTCCGGCGTGAGCTTGAATTGCTGGTCAGCGCCCTTGGGGATCTCACCGCTCGAGTGCTTCTTCCAGATTCCCCCGAACATCCGTAGCTCCCCCTGGTGCCCTCCTCCGAGTCCAGGTCCTGCAGTGACATTGGCTGGTCCCCCCCGGGGCCAGTGGCACCCTTGGGGGGGCCGGTGTCGCCAGATCGGGCATCTCTTCCAGCAGCGCCTCCTGGTGCCATGGGTTCTGCGACTCTCTGAGCCTCCTGATGTAGGGGACATACTTTTCGTTGATGTCTCCCACGTTGGGGATGTCCTCGGGGTCATCCAGCTCCAGGGGGCAGCATCCATGCCTGGTTGGTGTCCTGGGTGCGCTTGTTCGCCTCCTGAGCCTCCTGAATGGAGCCCATCGCCTCAGCCAGTGCCTGGCTGGCGTCAACGCCCTTCCCCTCCAGGTACTGGTCTCGCAGCTTGGCCTTGAATCGCTCCAGGTTGACCTTCCTGAGGGCACGGGCTCCCTCATTGGCCACCTCCTCTGACGGCAGGGCCTGCATGCCCTCCTCAAAAGGCGCCAGGATAGCCATCTCATTGTCCAGCATCTCCTCCGTGACCAACTCCTTGTGCCGTCGCCTGGCCGAGGACTCCTCCGGGGTCAGATGCTCCCTCAAGGCCTTATGCAGCTCCTCCTTCTTCCGGATCGCCTGGTCCACCTGGGGGTGGTAGAGCTGGAAGCTCTGCGCCTCCGCCTCCTTCAGGGACCGCTGCACTTTGACCTTGATCTCCTGGCATTCCCGGACCTTCAACGCCTCGTCGTCCGCCTCCATGGACAGGATCTCCTGCCGGATGTCCACCCGCCTGTTGAGCGGGACCACGTCTGGCCATGGTGATCTCCTCTGCCGTGTCCGTTTTCGGAGGAGCTCTCCCCAGGACCGTGCCGTCCACCAGGTTGCGGTCTGCCTGTGCCCGGGTACCACCGGGGCCAGCGGCACCCAGGCTTCCCCCTTTCCGCTGCTGGATCCAGGTCGGCTTGCCCTCCACAATGAGCAGGTTGTAGGTGATGCCGTCCGCCTCATAGGTAGCCGAGGGTGCCTGGAAGGGGACGAACTCCTTGCCTGGGCAGACCCAGCACTGCTTGGCTGCCTCTGGCCACCCCGTGCCGCATGCCTTGCACATGAACTTGTAATCTGAGTGGCCTGCATCGAGTCTGTGCATCCGCTGGGTGCCAATGCACGCCTTATTCCTCTGGAACTGTGAGGCCCAGACCTCCTCCTGCCGGATCTGGATCTTCATCGGAACATAGGCCTCCAGGATGCGAATCACCAAGTCCTCCGTGAGATTCTTCCCGACAAACTTGTGGAACAGGGAGACCGCCTCCTCCACCGTGACGTCCCTCAGCAACGTGGCCGCCGATGCCGGAAGGACCGGGAAAAGGTCTGGGAGGTCCACTAACTTGAAGTAGCCGGGACGGCCCTCCACCGGCACCAGGGAGACCGGTTTGTTCACATGAGCCGTGGTCTTCTGGGAAGCCGCCACGAAACCCTTCAGCCTCTTCGTGGGTGGTGTCTGTGCCTCTTCCAGTGGAGTAGCCCGCTCCGTGACGTCCGCATCTTCCATGTCCTTGTCCTCCTCCTCGGCGGGGCCAGGGGCACCCAAGCCGGAAGTCGGTGTGGCAAACGCCACACGAAGACGCTCCAGTGCACTGGAGAGGTCATTCATCACGTCGGTAGCCGAAGCTGACGGGGGGGCCTCGGGCTCGTCCAACACCAGGCCGGCCGCCACTGCCGCCTCGCGTGTGCGAATTTCCTGGGCCTCATGGCTGGCCATTTCCACCTCCTCCGCGGTGAGCGTCTGGTCCTCAATCAGCTCGAAGGAGGTTGCCGAGGTTGCCGAGGAAGCCATTGCTTGATCGGGGTTAGTTCGAAAGTGTCCAAACTCAATCTTTTTCACACAAATTGGGTTCAAAGAACCCAGGGCAAAGCTTGAGCCAAAATGGCATGCGCCATTATGGTCAAGCATTGCAAACACAGTTTATGTTTCCACATGCGTTTCAACATTAACAAATTATCACGTGCCCGTCGGCCTTGCAAGTAGATAGTTGAAGGGCGGTTGGGGTAGTACTCCGTCCAGGGCGGGCGGTCATTGGGACCCTGGCAGATACATGCCATCCAGGGGCGTGATCCAGGTTCCCTGATGAGATGAATCTGTATAATTGTTCATGTTAGACTGAGATGATCTTGCATCAAGGGCGGATGATGCCATGCTCTTTGGAAACTATAGCCTCTTCTGTACTTTTGGGGTCAACATGACAACAATGAAAACCGGAACGATAAACTAAATCGAATTCCATAAATCATGATAAATCCAGTCCCAAATTCCATGTTCAGGGACCTCTTTTGGTTGGTTCTAATTACTATGGACTCCTAAACGTGTTCAATGCACAAATCCTTTCACAAGGGAAGCAAGTTGATCCTAGAGGTTCGCAGCAATCCTACTCCTCGTTTTGACAGGTAGTTGAAAACAAAGGAAACCGTGAAAGCAGTGATGGCGCTTGTTCTTTGGGGCTCTCTATATTTCCTCTTAAAAAATCACCCCTGCCAGGATAAAGGAAACCTTGGAGCCCAAAATGCAGGCTCCAAACCAAACACACGGGAGATCTAGGGGCTGTCTCTTGTTGATTTCCTGGTAAAACCAAGCAAAAGGGGGTGCGCTCCAAAAAAGGACACGCCCAGAAGCCCACTGCCCCAAAGGCTCCAAAATGAAAGCTTCACCTCGAGGATCTATTTCTTATACCAAAAGCCGAAAAAATGGAGAAAAACAACACGTCATTTTCGCATTTGGACCGAAACCGACAGACCGACGTCGTCCAAACCCATCCGCGCCAGATCCAAGTCCACCTCGCCCGTGAGGCCTTGGATCGAGAAGAAGACCCCATCCATATCACCTGATTGCCCTTACTCATGCGCAAAACAAATGCCCCATGCATATGATTCCCCTTCTGCCGCGGGGTGGGACAGTTTAGACTGTCTTGTTAGACATTGTTGGATATTGCGGGGCCTTTATTGACCTGCCTCTTCTTGAGACCTTCCCCGACGCGGCTAGAGCTTCTCGGCTTTACGAACCTCAAGACAGACCGCTGAGAGGTCTCAGGTCCTGGCCATCCAGAAACGCGGCAGAGACCTCTGCCTCCTCCGCCACCTTGGTGTCCTGAAAGTCCGGTGCATGCGTGGGCAAAGCATAGATCAACACAGACCACACAATTAAAGTGGTGGTGGTGGTGGTGGTGGTGGTGCTGGTGGTGGTGGTGGTGGTGGTGGTGGTGGTGGGTGGTGGTGGGTGGTGGGTGGTGGGTGGTGGGTGGTGGGTGGTGGGTGGTGGGTGGTGGGTGGTGGTGGTGGTGGTGGTTGGTAGCAGAACTAGTGGTGATAGTAGCCGCAGCAGCAGAAGTACTAACAACAATGATAATAATAGTAATAGTCGTGGTAGAACTCGCAGGAGTAGGGGAGGAGTGCTGCGGGAGCAGCAGAAGCGCTTGACTGCAATGCCTTCCTCGTGCCAGTGTCCTTCGTATCTTGCCTTGGGACTATGCCGTGTTTTCAAAGTCTTTAGAAAATCACCTGCTTTGGGTTCGTGTGTAGTTAGTTGGCTTAAGATGTTTAAGCTGAACGCAGTATTTTGAGGGATGTCTGTTCTACACCACGCTTTGCCTTCGCTTAGCGAGCGACAAAGCTGGTTGCCCTGGCACTTGCAATGTCAGCAAACCAGCTGCTGGAGATCAGCGACATGTGCTCTGCACATACCCTCGGGGTGCCGGTGCAGACGTCCCGGGCATCGATATACAAATGATGAGGGCTGCCAGAAGTCAACTGGTGCTGAGAGCACTCGGACGATGTTGGCCCATCGTAGGAGTGGACCCAAGCATCACCTCTCAAGCTTTGACCGCGCCAAAGCCTCGGCCAGAAGTAAGGCTCAGCAAACTGAATCAGGGCTGCCGCTGGATAGTCTGGAAGATCCGCCGGCCTACTGGCCATGGCCTGCATCAATGGTTTCTGAAGCAGTGCCGCGGCGAGGCGTAGAAACCCAGAGAACAGCGTGAAGATCGGAGTCACTAGAAGGCGAACCACCATGAGTCCTGCCCCAGAGCCTTCGCACGTGTCACACCCCGTCTGCCCGCAGTAGCTCCCGTCGAATCCCAGCACGGCCAGCCGCTCGTAGAAGCTCACAAAGTCCACCCAAAAGCGGCAAGCCGTAAGGTGCCCTCGAGAGTGGCCCCCGACGACCACCAGCCAGGAGTCACTGCCCTCATGCTGGGCCAGCTCGCTGTCCACGACGTCCTTTCAGGGGTCATGAAAACCTTGGGTCAGCTTGAAAACGGTTTCCCAACCTCTTGGACCTTGAGGCTTAGCAACTTAGTAACTTAGTTGGGCGAAAGAAAAGTGGCAGGGTCCTTCATGGCCACGGCGTCGCTGCGGAAGCCCGACGCATGGCCGGCACTGAACCCAGTGCCAACCGGGTCATAGGTGCAGGCGCGAGTGGTCTGTGCTAGGGCCTGCTGCACAAAGTAGAGCGACCCTGGAGAGGCCAGATAGCCAGGCTCCAAGACAACCAAGGATGCATTGGGCTCGCCTTGGCACCAGTACGCGATGCCAGACTCTGTGTAGGCAGGTCTAGAGCTGTTCGCAAGGTAGACCAGCATGCCAAGGACCTGTGCCGTCAGCGAGATACCGAGCAGCACCCCGCAGCAGCCCCAAAATCTACAGAAACATCGGTCATCGCCTTCTGCCGCTTGCGTCTGCGGGCCCGCCGGGAGCACCGGCAAGGATTCCAGAGTCTTGCGGCGCTGGCAGACCAACAGGGCGACGGCTACTGCTGCAAAGAAGAGATCTGACAGGATGTCTCCATTGAGGCCTGGCAGCCCCTGCACAATGGCGAAGATCACGTACACCGCGACAACCAGGCAAGGGAAGGCCCCCAGAACCACATCCACCCAGTTACGCCTTCGGGGAATGTAGTGGAAAAGCAGCAGCTCGCAGATGCAAAGCAGAGCCCAAGAGATGCTGCACTGCAGCAAGAGCATGAGAAGGCACAGAACCGCTAGCACCAGTCCTTGGAGCCGCATGTCCTGTAGCCATGTCTTCACAAATCTCAGGCCCATTCTGCAGGTCTTACTTGAAGGCATCAACAAACCAAGGACGTATTGCTGAGCCCAAGGTGCAACAAATGAGGACTTTGTCTTCTACACTGTAACCAGCTCTGTTTCATAAAGTGTTATAAGGCAAATAGTTGTAGAGCATGTGAGTCTGCCTGCAGATTCTTCAGTTCCCGAGTGCGGCACAGAAAGAGTCTGAGCCAGCTGGCACCGGCAACACATGACTCGACTGACCTGAGAGGACACCGATACCTTTTGGGAGCAGTGAAACAACGAATCTGCCCCAAACAAGTATGGAGAAAATGGGTGGGCCGCCCATGTCGAAACCCACAGCAGACGACCAATCATATTGTCAGTGAGTCACATGCCTAACATGTTCTGCCTGAAAAAAAACATACCATGTCTACCGGTTTGAAGGAAAAGTCGCCAGTCCTATCACGGTGGAAAAACTTAAAGAAGGCTTCTGCACATCTGATGCCTTTCAGCTTCCAGAAGCCAACATTGAAATCATGGTTGCTTTCAAGCAAACTGTTTAACGAGACCTAGAGGTCAATCTGCAAAAGGGAAGTGCAACTCATTCTGTGGGGGATAAAACATCTTGGACCCTTTGAGTGTGTTGGCCAGCAAGTGAGCAAGCAAGCTTGCTAAGGCTGACAATGTCTGACTATGGCGAGCTGCTGCTTCCTTCTCAAAAATATGTTTCTATGTCGGCATTCTAAAAGGAAACGAGGAAGCCAACCAATTGAAGAGTCGACGGTGGCGGACGCCCAGCGGGTGCTTACATTGCACCTATGTAAAAAGATAGCATAAAGCAGATATCATGGAGAAGCCCTTGTTATTTGTTTAACACTCCACAGTGACATGTTTGCTTCGGTCCATAGCCACTGACACCTGGGTTCACCAAATCTTCCAGGTGCATCGATCATCCCCAGCCGCTCCGTACAGCCCACCGCCCGGAGCCAGTGGGGCTCCTGGCTTCGGCAGCTTCCCCCCAATTGATGGCTCGGAGCCCGGTGGCTTCGTTTTTCTTTCTTTTTTGGCGGAGAGGTTTCACACTTACCCTCTACAAAAGCCAGGGCTTCAAATCCAAATCCAAACCACCAATGCAAGACACGAACCTGGCGGGTTAGTTGAAATAAGGGACCTGTCAGGCGCCGTAGTGGCGCGACTAAACCAAAATGGGGGATTGGGGGGGGGGGGGGACCGTGCCATCTACTTTGCCCAAGTATTCTGTCTCATGGGGCCCCCTGTCAGGTGCCATGTCGGGAGGAACGGCTAAAATGGAACAAAACACGGGGTGGCTTCCTGTGTTGGTCTCCCTTTAAAGCAATCCAACAGGGCAACTTCAAAAAAAAAGGCACAAGGATCCCTATCCTCTAGGGGCCAAGAAGGTTTTCGGTGTTACGGAAAGGGATCCTTTTGGAGCAATCTGGTCACTTGCCCCTAAACTTGCTGGTGCTCAGTAGGGAATGTGGGAATGACACAAGGGATGGTTTATAAGGGTCATTCCCTCATTCCCTACTGAGCACTAGCAAGTACACTTTGGCCCAACAGCAAACTCCCCAAAAGTGGTCTAAGTGAGTCGAACGCATACCTCATGCTTAGACTGGCTGAAAGCACATGCAGTGGCCCTTTTTCCGGACCCACCACGAGTAGTTGTAATTGTGAAATCTAATGAGGGGAACAAATGCCCGTCACAAAAAGTGACAACTGCCAGACAACGAAAGCCATGTGGAAGCCTTTTTCAACATGTGTGACTCGCAGTGGTCAGAATGGGGGGGGCGTTGGGTGTTGGTACCAACTCCACATAACACAGACCCGAGATGTTACTTCAAGCTGAGGCTTTCTCGCAAGGGGTTGCTCCCAAGACGTCACAAGTTTGGTCCCTATGAAACTGTCCGCTTGATGTGGGAGCAACAAGCTTTGATGTTTGTCTGCAGCCTGAACAAAAACAAACAGAACCAACTACAAAAAACACATGCCAACGCTGAAGGAAAGAACCCCAACTGACTTTCTGGCCGCGTGGTCTAGTCATTCGCAACCCTAAGGCCCAGCCTTGACGGGACACCTGAGATCGCTATCAAAAGAAAATCCGTGGAAACCAACCTGTCTTGTTGGGTTTCCCTCCGGGCAATCCTAGGTTCGGAGCACTCTGTTCGAATGTGTCCCCTACCCCCAAACCAACTTGAGGTTCACGGGATATATGACCAGTTTGCAGCCTCTGGATGAGGAATGTACTCCATTTTGCCCCTGGGGTTGTGGTTTGGAGGGTGATATCATTGTGGACTTCCAGGAAGATCAGCGTGCATCCCCCGTCTCATCGCCTCCTCATCGCTGTCTGCATCCTGAGCGCTCCGCTCTGCGCATTCCACTCCGCGGACATTGGGAACAAATTGTAGGGGTACCTTCCCCATTCTTTCCATGCATCCTTATTTCTAAAAAACCACCTAAAACCCTGGGGAAACAGCTGGTTTTTGAAAAGAACAATGGTTGAACAGAATGAGGAATCAACCCCTAGATATATGAGAACTCACCGAGTGGATTGACCAAGCAGTCTTTTCGGTTGCCACTAAACCGGTGTTCTCGCAAAACAATAATAATAATCCAGGAACTCAACACTGCGGGCCAGGAGCAATACAATGGGGACGCGGTAAGTAGGCTTTCAAACATGTTACGTCATGATCAAATAGGGCTCCGATGTTCAGCAAACATCTAGTTAGCCCTTCATGTTACGATAAAATGCACCTGCCAAGATAAACATGCAGCTTCTGCACGCTTCGCATTCATCACCGCAACTCTCCCCAAAGCACATCCATATGGACGGTCTGGGTGGCAAATGGCTTACCATTTGGCCCGTTGGGGAACAGTCAAGTTGGATCGGGTGCCGAGCTAAGTGTACCTCTCTGAAAGAGAGGTCCTTCTATTTGGGTGTGTTTTCCTTGTGGTTTCCCTTAGAACCAACCCCGTTTCGCTCAAGAAGACCGAGCCAGGGCCATATCTCTCCAAGTCCTCTCTAAGGGTGCGCCAAAAGGCAAAGTTTGTTCACATGGGCCATCACGCGGGCAGAGGCTTCCCCGGCCACGCCTCACCACTTTGGGTTTCTGGGTCTCCTGCGCGTAGCTGTGAATGAAGAAGGCCCCCCGGCAAGGTGGTTTCTACATTTGAGGGCTTCGAACACTTTCTGGACGTGGGGATTATGGGGAACCACCCTTAGACCCTCCCAAACAAACTCAAAGCCCACATGAAACAACCCACCTCAGCCTAAATTGCACCTACCATGACCGTACAGAGAGGGAGAAGTGGGCACGGATGCGCATTGACAATGTAGAACCATATATATATATATATATATATGCGTGCATGCAGTTGATGTGTACATATATAGGACCTATATATATAGACTATCTTATCTATCTATCTATCTATCTATCTATCTATCTATTTGAGCTACCGTCAAAATCACTTGGCTTCGTCAAGGAGGTGTTTATGTAGTTAGTGTTTTTGGTGGGGGCCCGAACGTTTTGTAGCGGTCTGCGCATCTTATCCATTTTGTGTTTGTGTGTGGGGGCCCTATCGCTTTGCCCGGCTTTCTGCAAACTTATGCTGCCAACCCCGCTTTACGAAAGTGATAAACACATATGTTGCCCGTGACTCATACATAATATATATATATATATGTATATAATATACACACGCCATGTGTATGCGCACACACACACACATATATAATAATAATTAATAATAATAATAATAATACTAATAATAATAATAATAGTAATAATAATAATAATAATAATAATAATAATAATAATAATAATAATAATAATAATAATAATAATAAATAATAATAATACTTAATAATAATACTTAATAATAATAATAATAATAATAATAACTAATAATAATAATAATAAATAATACTAATAATATATATAATATAATACAATAAAACATGCATTTCGAAGGGACAGTGCCACATTGACATGGTTCATGCTGCTTTAGCACGAACACACATTGAGCAAAGCAACATGAAGACCCTCCCACCCCCCCTCAAAACCTCCCACCAATGAAAGTGCCTCAAGGGAGAAGCCCTGCGTATCAGTGATGAGCAACCATTTGGCCACCGACTTCGGCCCGCAAAATGTTTCAAGACGACTCCTCAAAGGCGGAAGCTTTCTGCCAAAATGGGTCTGCTGTGCCTCTTCCAATTCACGAGCCTCTCCTTCACTATGGCTTCAGCGGAGCAAGGTTAGAAGCAGGATTCATGGAGGGTTCTAGCATGGGGTGGCCAAAAAGAGGCAATGGTTGGCCTCCCTGGCGGTTCCTTTGAAAGCCCCACGCAAGGAATCGGGCCCTCTTGATGCTATACAGATATGCTATGTATGTATTCCATCTTTGATCCACCGTGAGTGCATTGTATGTAAAGCCGCGTTGGCTCCCTTTTACTCGAGTCACGACTGCCTCCTAGTGCATGTGATTGAACATGCAATATGCATTCATGGATGAATATTTTAGTGAGTTTCATTTGAGCCCCGGTCCGGCTGTGTCAAATGTATGTCCATTTCCTGGCTGAAATGGCCAACCGAAGTTCCAAACTTGGTGTCCACCAACATGGTCTTCCCCATAGTATCAAGCTCAGGATGTCCCGGTTTGAGTATTCCCAGGCCGTTGGTGTTCGGAAGGGTGGCAAGCCCTTGGTTACAAACCCGGGGAAATGGAATTCGACTGGTTCATTCCACAACTCCTCGTGTGAGATGCACTTGCTCGATTTGATCATGAAACCGGTGCCCCGATGCACGGACACAATCGACGAGAGGCGGAACAAAGCGGCCGGCGCCTTTTGCTCCCGCACTCCACACGATTTGCCGAGGGTAGAAAGAGAGTGGGCCAAGCGGGGCATTCTTATAATGACTTATCAACCTATCATGCCCTATCACTTCAAAGGAAGTTGGTTAAAAACAAAGCAAATCTGTCATCGCCTGTCAAAACTTTGGGCTTCCCTTGCTAGAAAAGAGAGAGAGAGAGAGAGAGAGCGAGAGAGAGAGCGAGAGAGC